CTTATATTTCGTTTTTATACTTTTCTGCTGAATGGTTAAGACCGAAGTAAAGCAGGACCTATGAAACAAGAGTTGTAGCTTTTGGGTCTGATAAGGTCGGTGAAATCCCCTCATGATTTATCCTGAGATCCTGTACCTCATATTGTAGAACTTTTGTCAGTGTCAGTCATGAGGATGAGTCACGGCCATTGCTTGGCCAATGTGCGCTCTGTGAAAGCCTGAGAGAATGTTTTCTCTCCATGTGACTCTCCTTAGGCACACTCTACATCATCGATCACTTTTCTCTTTGGCCCCATAATCTCTTTGATTAGAAAATTTGGGACACTACTGAATTACATGACGTTACAGTACAAGTTCTCATGTGTTCTGAGTCTTAATTGACCTTAGAAGGTTAGGGCCAAAATGTTGGCTTTCCTTGCAGCCCTCCTTTTTCTCTAATTTTGGTCTGCCAACTTAGGTTGTTAACCATCCAAAAGACAACCTTATTGTTATTACCATACAACTTAGGCTATTAAGCTTAACCTCACTGTCTGTCTGCATAATAATATCTTAGGTATAATATGGAACAGGTATTTTTCATCAAGTATTGATATGTTGAACTTTAAGTCTCTACAGAATATGATTAAAAAAATTTAAAAATTAGACCCTATTTTCAATAAGGAGACATTTACCCGGGACTAGGACTTCATGGGTGAGGGGCATAATTTAAACTACAACAGAGTGGAATATTATTCAATACTAAAAATTAATATCAAGCTACTAAAAGACAAAGAGGAAACTGAAGTGCATATTACTAAGTAAAATAAACCAACCTAAAACATGTACATACTGTATAATTTCAACTATGCAATATTCTTACAGAGTCTAAATGAGTAAAAGAGTAAAAAGATTCTGAATTTCCAGGAATTCAGAGAAGAAATTGGGATGAATGGGTAGGGTACAGGAGATCATTAGAACAATAAAACTGTACTTTGTGATACTGTAATGTAGGGTATGTGGCATTATACATGTCAAAGGCTGAACAATGCGCAACACCTTGATTGAACTCTACTCTAAACCATGAATGACACTATTATTCAATATTGACTTATGCTCTATAAGAAATGTACCACACTACTGCAAGAACTCATTTACTTGCAGTTTAAGAAGACATGTGGGCACTTCATACTTCTTGTGCTATTGCTCTAGAAAACTTGAAATCCTATCAGGAGAATAAAATCTATTAGTTTACCTTCCTAAAACTTCCAGACCCATGTTGCTCCTTTAGCCTGGGTGCTCAGGGAAGGTGTCTGAAGATACCACCTTTAAATCTGACCTGAAGGACAAGAAGATGCTCCCCTTGCGAGAGACAGGCAGGACCAAGACTGCAGCAGAAGCCAGCTGGACGTGAATGATTAGGACATCTAGGGGACTGGGAGAGAGCAGTTCAGTGGGAGGCAGGCAGAATTCAGGTAAGCAAAACTTTTTTAAAAAGTACAATTTGGATTTTATTCTGTGATATGAACTCATTAAATGTTTAGTAGGGAAATATTAGCATATGATCTATATTTTTCCAAATGTCACTCGGGCTTTTTGATACAGAGAGTATCCAACATCAGAATTAGAGACACTATGGGAAGGACATTGCTGTTGTTCACTAAAAAGGTTCTGAAATAGAGATCTGATTCAAGGGGTACTGGATAGGGTGATATTTGAGCTACACTGATAATGGTAATAGAAAGGCAGACTTCTTTCTGTGT